AGAGAGTGGCTTCACAGCTATGAATCAAAAGCTGCAAACCAACCAGCAAACTGTTGTGTGTCTGAGTGTGTGTGTGAGAGTGTGTGTGTGTGTGGCATGAGTGGGGAGGGACTTAATATTGGGGCTGTGGAGGGCTCAGTGTGTTGAATGGGGTGGTAGAAAAAAGCCCCCAAACTGGAGCCCATAGAGATCAAAAAGCAATCACTTGAGTTTTCCTGTGGGGAGACATGGATGCTTCCGCTGCTACTCTGACCACCACCACCATCCTCTATTACTACTACAGTGGTGTGCTTCCCAGTCTCAGTTGAGGACGTTGAGTTGAGGCTCCAATGAAGGATGCGCTCACCCAGTGTTTGAGTCAGTGATGAGAAAAGGAGAGCATTCCTTCTTTCTCACTCTCACAAGTGAGCATGCCAGCTGCCTCATTCACCAGCAGCTCAACCTCAATGGATGGAGACTCAACCCCTCGAAAGTGATGTCAACAGGACTGACATTGTGACCCACATCCAGACGTGTGTGTGTCTGTTGCTGTGGAAGTTTAATTTAAGAAGAAATATATTTTTTTTTTTTTTTTTTTTTTTTTTTTTTTTAAACAGATGAGGATAAGAAAATAATGATGCAAGAATTCTCTACAAAATCTGGAGCAACAAATTGGTAATGTATCTTATTCCTCACATTCCCTTCCCTGTGGCTGAAGAAGGTGTCAGAGCATTGGTAACCACCTCCAAAACTTGGTCTTCTAAAAGCAAGCAAGCAATGAGCTTCCTTCATAATCATCAGGCAACCCTGAGCTTCCCATTTGGAATCTCCGAGTACACAGAACCTTTGGTTTCAATGGGTAATGAACCTTCTCCCTTTGCCCTCCTTCCCGTGCTCTCACTCCCCAAAATAGCCCTAGGCAATGATCCAGGAGATTTGTGCCCCCATGAAAACAACAAATAATATTATTAAAAACATGGTGTAGAAGGAGGAAAGACTGGTTTACAGGAGCGAGTTGAAGGAAGGAGGAGCCAAGGGAAGCAAGCAAGCAAGCCAGTCAGCCCAGCCAACCAACACTTATTGGACCTGATTCCCCAAGCATTGCTCTTTTGACAGGGTCGGTTTGCCAGGTTACTTGACCCTCTAAAGAAAGAAAGAATTGGATGAAGGAAGGAAGGAAGGAAGGAGAGTTACCCCGGTTCCCCCTCCTTGTTCCCTGCTTCTTTCTCTCCCGAGCTTTTGCTGCCATCAGAGCCATGTTTTACCAAAGTACTCCCAATTTAGCTAAGTTTTTTAATTTTATTTTAGTTATTTTGATTATTTTTTTTAATGACAGGAATGGTGTGATCAGATTCTGTAGGGAAAACATGATTTTTGAGAACTCTTACTGTTGTTTGTATATGTTTTTTTAAAAAAAATTGCAGTGTTTTGTATTGTCAGTTTGATGCAGCACATAGCAAAGTAATACATAGTTTTTATTTTTTATTTTTTATTGAGAAGTTGTAAGATTCTCACAGTGGTGTGAAAAGTCAGTAGATTATGCTTTCTTCCTCTTCTTCTTCACTTATTACACATGGAAATCATTAGTATCAACCTACAACTTTTGCAAGATGACCCCCCCCCCCTCCATATTTGAGAAGAAGACAAAGAAGAAGTAAAACATCTTTTTGCTTACTGATCAATTTTCAGGTGCAGAAAAAAGAAAAAAGAAAATGATCTGTAAGCACTTTTGTATTTTCTCCTACTTATTTATTTGTATTATTTCATGAGGTTCCTCTTCAGATAACTAAAGAGAAGACATACCAACACCAACTTGACTGGGTGGCTCCTCCAGGAGTGTTTGAAGCCAATGCAAAAAGAGATGTATGTGGTACATGTGAGGCTTCAGTCTCTCTCTCACAAGTTGAAGGCAGTTTTTGGCCCCCAAGTAAGTTGATTTGTGTGACCTGTGAAGACACCCACTCTGTGGGAGAAAGGATACTGAGGAGGAAAGGAAAAGGGGGAACAAAATTAAATTATAACTAAAAACAAAACAAAAAACAAAAAAACATGCACTCGCACTCGCACTCACACTCACACGGGGACAAAGAGGAAATAGTTCCTGCTTTTCTCACGCGAGGCCCACTCTTTGCACGTGAGTGTGTTTTGTGGGATTGTTATTTTAAAGCATGGCAAAACTTGAGTGATGAAGCAAGACAAAAGGAGAGCAAAACATTGTCATATGTGCAATGTCAACAAAGGGTTAACCTCTGATTAGAAAACCCACATGGTACCCAAATCATTATCATGATTATTCTTATTCTCATCAGCATTATTGGTAATCACATTACCATGCGTTAATGTTGTGATTGTTTCATGTCTTGACACAGGTGGATGTGGAACAACTGCAAAAAGTTTATTAAGTCAAACCCATGAGTTTGGATTGGGGATGAGATTAGTGTGCAAATTTGCCTGTCAATAATCAAGATGCAATGACACCATTGACTCTGAATTGACCTAGGATGGGTTTAGTGCTACAGTAGGTCAACGTGGAAACTTTAGATTTATGTGGCACCACATGCATGCTATAAAAAAACAGCAGAGAAAATTCTAATTGGAATACAGCATCAGAACTTAACACATGATTGTACATACACATGCTTGTAGGAGAAAAAATAGGCATATAATCCTACCTGCATGCATTGGAAATAGGCATGTAATCCTAAAACCAGGTGGCCCCATGATCCATGGTCAACTATGCTGGCAAATTCCTAAACAGCTTACTTTGTATCTACACCATGGTTGTTGAACCCATCAAATTTGCACCGAATCTACTTGGAAAAATGGAATAATTCTTGTAAGATGCACATCTATCTGCCAAAAAAAGGAATTGTCAGAAGTGTGAGTTTCACATCCTTAATTCTCAAGTATCAATTTCTTCTACTAAACTTGGGGCTGGCTTTTGAAATGGATCAGCTCCTATCCACAAACCAATATATTGTAACCTTCACAGCTCTAATTCTGCCTCACCAGAATTAGTTGTGAGCACATTAACAAACAGTACATCTGTCAATGTTCTAATTAACATCAAGGCTCTGTATCACTAATAACAACATTTTATTAATTTTGCTTCATTTGAGAAGGGGGAGGGAGACAGTGTGACAGGACAAAATGTACCTCCTTTAGGTAAAAAATCATCAAGTAATATACATCTCCCTTTGGTTTTGGCACAATCAAAAGACAACAAACCTCTCAGACTCATCTTTAGATATAAAAAATTGCACTTAATAATCATCCATTTGTATAATCTGCTCTCCACTTCTTGTTCTTTCTAGAAATAAAAACCTCTTCTTTGCAAGAAGCAATTGAGCCTCCAAAAGGGCTTTCCACAGCAGAAATATGGAGACCCCATCAATAACACACACTGGACAGGGAAGGGTAGAGAAGCTGGGTACCACAAGGGAGATGAAGTAGACTGTTTGTCATGCCTGACAAAGCTGCCACTGAAAAAAAGAGGTTGAGACAAATTTCCTACCAGCCTTCCCTCCCTCCCCAGCTTCCCCAAATTGTGCCACATCCACCACCAAAGAAGTGATGATGCATTTTGTAGCATGCAAAGGCCATAATGTATCATTGGCATCAAACAAGCGAGGTCCCTCTTTCTTCCCTTCTTTTCTGTACTTCCCTTCCTTCCTACTTGGTGTTCAATTTCCAGCTTCTATTGTTGTGGGGGATGTCACTCAATGGATGGAACTGGGTTGTGGTGGTGGTGGTGCTATTTCATAGTTGTAAGAGTTGGTTACGTCCATAATGACTCCACCACATTGTCCTTATACTGGTGATGTAAGGAGGAGGAGGGGCAGCATATTGGATGATACAAAGTTCTTTTTGTGATGTTGCAACATGAAAAACTCCAGCCCTAGTTACTGGCTGCATGTTATTATATAGGGGCTGATCTCCATGAATGAAGAATTTGCTGATCATTTGCCATTTGACCCAAAGCATTTGTCACTCAATCAATTGACAAATCTTTTTTTTTGACCAGTGGGGAAAATGACAACAAATCATTGCAGTGTGCAATGAAGAATAAGTAATAACCCATCAACAAAACACAAAGCAAAGCTAGTTAGGGTGGAGATATGTGGCATTGGGTGCACATTGAATTTGAGGTTTGTAATTGATGCACTCACTAATTGAGCTTTTGGTTTTTATTTATTAGTGTGGCCAATCTTTTCATGTCTGCAGTGTTTTCTAGTGTGCAGATGTGAATGCACTGGAGGCTGGATGTGATGTGGCTGTTTTCATGTCATTTTGCCTATCTCATTGATAGCCATAGATTTGGTCCCCTCTGCTGATCAATTATAGAAAAACAAAAACTCTAAAATCTTTGAATCCACAAGCTCTATATATTTGAGATATTGTAGAATATCATAAGAATATCTTAGATCTCGACAAAGCTACTTTATATTTCTCTCTTCTGAATGTGGGTAAGCGAGCTGAGAGGACAAGTTTGTAATAGAAATACGCCGAGCATTCATTCGAACGGGAGAATTATGGATGTCTCGTAGGATGAGATGTAATTACGCGTAGTTGGCAGTAGGTGCTCCTACCCGAGAGCACCAAGAAGATTGTTTTCTGTAAGGAAAAGAGCTTCGATCTGTAAGAGTGAGCAGGCAACTTCGAAGCTGCTGAATTGTCACTGGTGTCGTCGTTGAGCGATCGTTAGAGTGTTTGGTGATGACGACTATTCGAATCAGGAGAAGGGATGCAGGCCGATCCAGTCTCCGGTTACTGGAGGACTTAGCGCGGTATTTGCGTCAGTACAGCTACAGAAAGTCCAGTAGTTCCTGCTGCATTGTTGAAGCCAGCGTTGGCTTATCTAAATTTGGTGTCAGAGAGTCCGTGTGGGTGAAAATTTCGGGTGTCAGAGCTGCTGGTAGCGATGGAGGGCCCGGGGCCGAAAACGTGGGCAAGTACAAAGGACAGGTAGGGAGGATTGAAGGAGGAAATAATAAAAGAAAAAGGAAAGCAAGCGGCACTGTGCCACCAGCAAGGCAGAATGCTCCAGTAATCTCCAGTAGCCCGTCGCATCGTCGCGAGGGGACCTGCAGCACTTCGCGTCCGGTACACCAGTGCTCGGTCATGTAGAAAGGAGGGTGTGGGGAGCCTCGCGAAGAGCACCCGAGGAGGGCATGGTTATTTTATCAGACAATTTGCCAGGATTCTTTTTGACCCGGTAATAAAAGGTAAACGCCTTTGTATCGGTGCTTCCGGCAGTCGGAGCATAAGATCTGGCGAAAGTCATAAAGACCAGCTGTGGTCTGCTAGAGTTTGCAGTTCCTCGGTGTTGTATCGAGCTCCTCGTTTTACAAGATCGGGGAGATACATACATATCCTTGGTGCAGAGTTAGCTAGACACCTACAAGAGATAAGGGCAAGCTTGGCCGCAGGCCCAGAAGCGTGTTGGAGAGGTGTGAGTGGATTGGGTGGGAGTTACAGTGTTCAATGCATCTGCAGCACCAAGACTAGTGTGAAGTGTGCTCAGTGTCGTTGCGGACAGATCCAGCAAGATGGCCGTCGTCAGTCTGGGCCCATACGGTGGACAGAGTTTGAATATGCTTATGCAGCGCAATGATCACCGTGCTGATACTCTCGTGGCTATGCTTGGATCTTGCTCTCCGCACATGGCCCTGCAACAAGGTGCGAACTGACCATCGCAAGCTCCTCTTTGAACTAAGCTTCGTCTAGGATCCCACTAGATGTAGTCAATTGTATCTGGAACATGTGAAGGGTCGTCGGTCCAGAGAATGCTGGTACCTTGCAATGCAGGTTGCTCTGCCGCTAGGAAATTCCCTTTGGAGATGATAGAAGAGGGGTTTCAGATTTTGCAAGAAATCGGTAACCTGTTGACATGACAGAAACTGCACGAGGGTTGCAGAGAATTGTCTTGTCGTTTCAATTTAAAACTTGACTTGAAATTCTTGTGCGGAAAATTTGAGTTAGTCAAGTGTCTGATATTGTTGTTTGGTACATTTTGCAGTACCAAGGTCTCTTGGAGATCTGGAGGATATGAGTGCGGGATGTGGGCAGAAACGCCCCTATTACGCAGCGTATGAGAATCATTCTTCGGAGGAGCCCGAGGATGTCGACGAAGGCGTGGACGAATTTTCTCACCATGTGGAGAAGAAGCGGCGCCTCTCATTCGATCAGGTGCGATCCCTGGAGCGCAATTTCGAAGTGGAGAACAAGCTAGAGCCGGAGAGGAAAATGCAGCTGGCCAAGGAGCTTGGACTGCAGCCCCGTCAAGTGGCCGTGTGGTTCCAGAACAGGCGCGCACGCTGGAAAATCAAACAGCTCGAGCGCGACTACGAGACTCTGACTCAAGACTACAACCGCTTGAAGAGCGATTTCGAGGCCGTTCTTAAGGACAAGAAGAATCTCAAAGACGAGGTACAATCCCCTTCAAATCTCCCCAAATTAGACACTGGTATTACGTGCCCTGAATCGATGTTCCTCCGACTAGAATACAGCACATGGACAGGCGATATGAATTACGAAAAAGTCGCACCGGCCAGCGAACACTGCCGGTGATTAATTTTCGCGTTAGTTCTCGCCATACACTGTGTATCATCATCACAGAATCGAATCCTAACCGGTGTTTTCTACCCTGATCAGGTTAATCGCTTGAAGGGAATCACCACGGAGGAAGAAAAGAACGTAGACGCTTCCGAACCCACGCAATGTAGCAGCCAGCCAGCTTCACCCGCGCAGTCTGAGAAATCCGACATTGTTACATCGAAAGTCAGGTCCACTCCGACCATCGACGTTCTCCCCGGAGCAGCCAAGGAGCCCAACGAGCGCAGCGTTAAGCGGACCATGAGCTCTGACAGCTACTCCAGCGACGTCATGGACGCCGAGAGCCCCCGCACTGGCGATAGCAGTAACCCGAACCTGCCCACCGACGCGCCATGGGTCCAGTATCACCATCCTCAGTTCCCTCCGGAAAGCTTTGTGGGACCGACACCGAATCCGCAGCTCGCCGGCGTAGGGGATACGCTCTCGCTACAAGTGAAGCTGGAGGAGATGGCCGGATTTCCCACTGACCAGGCCTTCTTGTTGTCGCAGCTAGAGAATCAGACCGTCCTACCTAACTGGTGGGATTGGGCTTGAGCAGACCAAAAATTGGAGCAGCAGCATCAGTCTGTACATGAATTCGGACTCACTGCGTTTCCCGGAGTTTTGAGTTTTTCCTGGCAGTTTTTTCGAGCTCCCGGTCGCAGGTTGTACAATATGTATGAAGCTCTTCCACTTGACATGTGTAATCCTATGTTCCCAGCGCGCTTCACCAACGAGGGACTTTACGTCAAAGTAATCGCACTATGCAAAAAAATTGGCAAAATACACAATAACCCAGGAGACCTGAACACTGGTTGATCCCGGATATCATTGTGTTGCATCTGCCGCAACTCGGTCGTTCTGCTAGATACGCTGTAATTTTATTTGGTTAATTCAGAAATTGTATGTAGTTATATGCTTAAGTAATTAGAGCTAGGACACATAACCCTCCGGATCGTCAATGTCGGAGCAGACATCATAAGCTGGCGTCTGTCGAAGCAGGCGTAGCATTACATTTGGAGAATAATCACCCAGTTGCGATTAAACAGTACGGAGGACCGTTACCATTTACGCCGGTGCACCCGGCTCGAGCACTGCTGTCGGCCAACATTTGTATAGAAATGAAATAAGCATCGGTGGTCCTCGGTGTTGTCGACGATGCCTAGATCTCGTTCAACTATCATCACTTTTTCATGCTAATTCTGCCAGTGCTCTCTCTCTCTCTCTCTCTCTCTCTCATATCACTTGGAATAAAGGGGCTTCACTTGTGCACCAAGTTTCTCTCCCATCACTGTCTTCTTCAAGTGGCCGGTGATGCTGAGTACTCTCATACGACGCTAGTCGCTGTGAGAAGTTATGACACAACTGCATGCAAGTCTGTCACAAAGGGTCCTCTGAAAATGACACCTTTTGATCTGAAAAGCCATTGTCTTTACTTTTATACTTTTATTTCCTTGGAAGCTTATGAATATCATAAAAAATTGTGCAAATTGTAGTACATTGTAGCCAAAAAAAATCCTCCATTTTTCGTCTGGATTTCACTACTCCAACTGACACCTATGGCATTGATTGGATGTGTTAATTGACACCATTAGAGCAGACAACTGCGTGACTCTCACCTCCATGGACATGAAAATGGAGAGTTCTTTCTCACACTACTTGTCACACAGCAAAGTTGGCCATCTTTTTATGTATAGTCATTATTATAATTATCATTACTACTAGAAGTAGAAGAGGAAGATGAAGCACACGATTCAAGACCACGGTACATTTCACAGTGCGGTGATATGCTTCAAAACTCCTGTCTCTAGCACATTGAGTAAAATGAGCTGCTGTACGCTTCACCGCTGTTCACTTCACTAAAAGAGGGCATCTTCATGGACTCACTTATTTCATCCCCTCAATAAAGAATCGTCCCCTGCATGCTGTGTGAACACGCTGCCGTAGCATCGCTCACCAGCGAAATTAGTAGTACCTCCCCCTGCCAACCGCTCCTGCAGCCGACGTCAATGAACTTTGGGTCCCCCCCACCATGCAACAAATGAGCTCTAGCTGTGCACATGGTGCTCGTCTGTACCATGCACACGATTCCATTAACAAGCTCACAGCCTTGGCCGCTCTTACGACAATCGGCGCCAACACACACACAGTCTCCCCTCTTCAACAGGCTGCCTGTCCCTGAACCCCAGCATTGTTATCTTTCTTCTGCTCCTGCTTCTGCTTCTTCTTCTTCGTCTGTTTTTTGTTTAACACTTTTGAACTCTTTTCCTTCAAACTCGGTAGCTCGTGGCTACTGTGCGCCCTTGCCCCCCCAAGCTGACTCACTCTGGCCTGTCCGAAGCACTAGGTGCGAATGTTGGTGGAATTTTGGAGGGGTAGAGAGTCTCACTAGATTGTGGCAACCCACTAGATGGACAGCTGCCACTGTGCACAAATGGGACCCAACTCCCAGAAGGAGAGATTCGTGGCCATGTCAGACACATGGACCATTAAAAAAACCATATAAAAAACTGAATACGAACAAAAAAACAGCAAAAAAGACAGAATAGTGGGGATTGTGTTAGTGCTTGTGGGTTGAACGGTTCGCAACACAAAGCTGCAAAGAAGACACCCACTCTCTCACACGGTGCGCTTGGGCTACCTTTGCCTGGAGCCTCTTGCTGAACTATTCTCAAGCTGCGTGTAGCTCAGTGAGCTTGACAAGTCAGGGTTCCTGGAGGAGCTTGCCGAGTCACTAGGACACGCACATTGATTGATTTTACATCTTATTTAAGTTCTTAAGCAGATGTAACCATGACACTGAGAGGCCAGGAAGCCATTATTCTTTTGCTGGATGGGTTTCTGAATGTTTTATTTTGTGAATATGTACGCATGCATTAATTTGTGAGTATATATAAATAAGTAAATAAATAAATAAATAAATAAATAAATATATATATATATATATATATATATATTTTCAATGAAACTTGTTGACCTGGAATAGGTGGGGACGTGGTACTTGCTAACAATGACCAATACCAACCACAGGATTGTTTTAAGAGGCTTGCTGTACATTATGCCCTTTAATTCTTGCTTCTCCTCCCCCTCTTCATATCCTTCCCTTCCATTGAAGAGCATTGGAATGTGCATGGTAGGGCCATTGGGAAGTTGCTATTATCCCTCTGGAAAAGAAAAAAAGAAAAAGAAAAAGAAAAAAGGAATAAAATAAAATGAAATAAAATGATCACAAAACAACCCATTAAAATTGCCACCCTGTATATATTCAATGTCTGGAGCTTTTTTGTAGCTTTCTGGGATGAGTCTAGAGCCTAGTTCTGGCCTTCCTCATTTCATGTATGTTGAAGTAATAAATTTGTTCACACCTTTGTTGTGGTTTCACATGGGCAAACATTAGAGTTTTAGCTACATTTTTTTTTTTTTTTTTTTTTTTTTTTTTTAGTGAAGAAAAGTTTTGTTGAGAATGTGGCAATGAAGCTCAAGACATGCAGAGATAGTAAAAAAATAATAGGAAAGAATGTTTAAAACATGCCATAAATGTCTTAATATTTTATCTTAGTGCTGACAATAGTTAAGATTCTTTTTGTTGCTTTGTTTGATGTTGAAATGTTATTAGTAATGTTAAGTATCTAATTAGATTTTTTAAAAATATAGCTTATATTGGCATAATATGCTTATTTCTATTGCAAATCAAGTAGAACCAAATAATATTTAAAACAACTAAAAATCATAATATTGGTAATTAAAACATTACATATTAATGTTAGTAGTATCATGGATGACAATAGTAATTTTAAAGCAAAAGCTATAATATTGAAGGTTATTGTATGCCAATATTGTAAGAAGATCAGATAAAGTCATGAGTATAGAAATTATTGGTAATTAGTCATAGCACCATCACAAAATGAGGATAAAGGTGGTGATTAGGAAACTTTTAGGAATTATAATCACACTTGGAGGAACATACATACACTTTCTTTCTTTCAAAATTTGGATGTTTAATAGTTAGTATTGTAAACACAATATACTAGTTTGTTAAATTTTACAAGCATTCAGGTTAGGCAATATTATGTACTATTTTTTGCTCAAATAAATAAAAACAAGAGCATTGTTGTCATGAAAAAACATATTTATTCTAATATTTATCTATCTGATTAAGTAGAAGTAAGTGAAAATAGATTTATCTCATAATATTTTTTAGAGAATATTATGAAATTATTTTTTTAAAAGCTTCATAGATATTGCTTTGATTATATATATATATATATATATATATATATATATATATAAAATTTATTAGTATGTTAAAAACTTAGTCAATAAATGAACCACCTATTGATAGGTTATAAAATAAACTAATTATATATATATATATATATATATATATATATATATATATATATATATAAAACTTGCTTTATAAATTAAGATATGTGTTGTGTAAAATCAACACATTTTAGAGGTCCTATAAGACATCGCCACATAACTTCTAGTTAAGAATATATATGGAGAAAAGAGTGAAGTCTTTTTCACTCTTGTCAATGCATTTTTAGTCTTTAGTCTTGTTTCAAGACTTTTTAGTCTCCTTATCTTTAGCAATAGCCATTCTAGTTTAATACTATTTCATCTTTGAGTGACTTTTTGGTTCATTTGAATGACTAAAGAATGTATTGAGGATTTCTTTCTTTGAGATTCATATCCTTGATAGTTTGACAAGAGTTATAATTCATTGTTCTTATCTTATTTTAAAAGTGAGTAGATTATCCAACTTCTATTATTGTATTTTGAAGATTATAAATTATTCACCTTTAAATAAATTATTTAATTTTCTAATACTAATTTTTTCTTTAGAGAGGATTATCCTTCTTTGTGAAAATTTTTATTTGATGTTAGAGGTTGAAAATTATCCTCTTTTAATTTAATTTGTAGATTTTTTAATTTATTTAAAATAGAATAAAAATTTATCGATGCTATACTTGATAAAAGTAAAAATAGATTTGTAACTATTGTAGATCTTTACAAACTTATCAATACTCTTAAGGTAGAAATTTCATACATCACTAACACCAATCAAAGAAATACTAATCATATACCTATGAAAGAAGTTCAAAGTCTATGCCAAGAAGTTATGTAATTGAAAGAAATAAGTAGATCAACTTCACAACCAAATTCAAGAATTTTTACTTATATAAGTGTAATAAGGACAAGGATTAATATGCCTAAGAAATTTAATGGAAGAAGATTAAAATTTCAAGGATTTTTAAAATAAGTTAAATTCTTTCAAGGTTGCATCTATTTTAATATCTTGATGGATTTACTCAAGTTGAATTCATTGGCAGATTTCTATCTAAAAGTGCTCTCTTTTGGTTTGCACCTATAATGAAAAAATATTCATGACTTTTTTATGATTTTAATTCATTCTTAGAAGTTTTTACAACCACATTTGGAGAAAGTGATCAAGAAAGAGTAGTAGAGACCAATCTCTTATCTTTATGACAAGGATTATGGCTAGCCACCATATATGCTATTAAATTCTAATACTTTGCTTATGACATAGATTGAAATGACAAAGCCATTATTAATCAATTTTGATATGGATTGAAGGACAATATCAAAAACTTATTATTAACAATGCCAAAAGCAATTTTTTTGAAACAATTTATTATTTAAGCCATTACATGCGACAAATAATTATTTGAAAGGCATCAAAAATAAAGATTTGGCTCAAGAAGAACAAGTCAAGTAATAATAACAACTCTTAAGTTTTTTGAAACTTATTTATTAAAGTCAGAGCAAATATAAATTAATATGGTATATTTTAAATTACTTATTTAACAAAAAAATACTTGTTGTTGTTAAGAAGTTTTGTACCTATATTGTGGAGAATCCAAATATATTGTTCAATATTATCCATAGAAGTAACGCAATGAGAAAATGAGAAGTATGGTTGCCAAAGAGGATAATGTGTCAAAAAAATAAGTTTTTTTTAGCTACAATAGGGATCATGTGGCTAAAAACTTATATCATTCTTAATAAAGGTCATATTCTCTCCTTATATCCTTCACTTTATTTTATATTAGAAGTTTATTTAGAATCAAAAAATCACAAAGTCTCAACCTTGTTGGATTCAAAAGCCTCAATTTATTTTATAGATAAAGACTTTGTCAAAAAATAAGATATATTTTTACTTAAGAAAATCAAATCTATACATATAGAAATAATAGATGGTTTTTCATTATCTTTTGCAGATGTTACATATGAAATTATTCTTGTAAAAGTAGCAACTAG